GCCCGTTTGGTTAAGTTGGGGTCAACGAAATAATAATAAGTTGGCTCAACGAAATAAAAACACCGAACTGATTTCAATTTAGTTTGAGAACAACGCAGGTTTATTTGGTTCGTATTCAATTCGCGTTCATTAATTTTGCTTCGAGTTACAAATTTTCGGGCAGACCGAAGATGCGGAAGGTAAGTATACCGGCAAAAAATACAAAATTCTTAACAATACAATTTCTCCTCTGATCCGTCCACGAGATAGATATGATGTATGTCTATATATATGTTGTTTTTGACAGCTGACGATCGTTCAAGTGAGCGAGTAGCGCACGCGTGGCCAACTACCCGGTTGGCTGATGGGGGTTTTCACGGTGCGAGTGAATTTTTATGAGTTCAAAAGTTACAATTCGTAGAAATATTTCAAGTCTAGCTAATTCAATAAATACAAATGGTTAATGCGGTGTGCGTGCGCTAGTCACTCACTTGAACATCCTGCCCCGCCTAGGCGCGCTAGACGGCTAGTGCCACTTTCAACTGCTCCAGCGCTCTAATGGCCTCATCCATAAGCCGATTTGCCATTTTTTCTCGGAATGCAGCGGTATGGATCCCTGTTGCCGAACGTTTGACGGTGCGTGGTTGCGGAATGGTGGCTGCAGTCGGATTGTAGCGATGGGTAGCGGCCTGGGTAGGTGGGTTGCGACGATCGCGAGCGTTTGAGCGGGAGGCCGGTGTCGGAGGTGTTTGAGTTGGAGGTGCGGTGGTACGGCGATGGGGCTGTGGTGGCGGCGGGGCCCGATGAAGCATCGTGTGGTGCGGCAGTGCACATATCCTGCACGTGATCTGGGATGTGCATTCGCTGGTAGCGTGCGACAGTGCCAGACAGTTGGTGCAGTAGTTATGGGCCCGCGCCAACAAGTACCGCTGCGCTGGCTGCATCCTTCTAAAGAGCGGGCATGTTCGTAGCGCGTGGTGACGCGCGCAAACTCGGCACTTCTGATAATCAGGGTTTGGGCGCCCCCCGCGGTCGCTAGCGGCCACAAACACCTGCGAGCGGAGTGAAGTTCTTGGTGCTGGTGTGGGTGCTGAATCCATTCACGCCTGTAAATAGTTGGGTAGATATATAATTTTAGTGAGACGTATATCGAGTATCGTGGGTCATGAGACAGAGAAGTATATAATTGTTATTTTGGGGAAAAGGCGCGTATGGTGATTGAAGGCGAGACAAGTTTACGATCAAGCGGTTTGTGGCATAAGTGGTGCAGAATCATGATGATGGTGTAGGGTTACTCGGTCGCATTGGGACTGAGTGGAAGTTCGGCCGGTGGCAAAAAACATAATTTAACTATCGGCCGTGTGAGAATGCCGGTTTGAGTGCGTACCTCGACAACACGAATGTGGCCATCGGGGCCGGGCCGTGTCCTTTCGATGCGTCCGAGGCGCCACTCAGTGGGCGGAAGCGTATCGTCGTTGATGAGGACGCACTCGCCGACTTTCGGCTCAATACGGGTGTCTTTCCATCAGTGCCGTTTGTGCAGGTCCTTGAGATAGTCCTCTTTCCATCGTCGGCTAAACTGATGGTGTAGAACTTTGACCTTTTCCCACCGATTGAGTAGAGATAAGTTTTCATGGTTCGATTCAGGAAGAGACAACAGGGGGGTTCCCTTAAGGAAATGCCCGGGGGTGAGTGCGGTAAAATCTGAGGGGTCCTGAGATAGGGGAGAGATGGGTCGTGAGTTTAACACGGCTTCTATTCTGATTAATAGGGTGGTAAACTCTTCGAAGGTGAATTTATGTGATCCGGCAGTCTTCTTGAGATGCGTTTTGAAGCTTTTGACTGCGGATTCCCATAAACCACCCATATGAGGGGCGCTGGGGGGAATAAATTTCCAGTTTATACCTTGAGCGGCATATCTTTTGACGATTTCCCGGGATACTTCTTTCGAGAAGGTGATAAACTCCTTCTCAGTGGCTCTTTTGGCACCGACAAAGGTTTTGCCGTTGTCACTCATCATGGTGGCGGGATAGCCTCGCCGGCCAACAAAGCGAGCAAATGCAGCCAGAAAGGCCTCTGAAGTTAAATTCGAGCACAACTCAAGGTGAACCGCTTTTGTCGTGAAGCATACAAAAACGGCCACGTAGCCTTTCACGAGGGTGGGCGATCTTAGCATGGAAGCCTTCACCTGAAAGGGGCCAGCAAAATCAACACCCGTTGTGGTGAAGGGCGGAGCGAAGGTGCATCGTGAGGGTGGCAAGGCTGCCATTATTTGTGAGCGCATTTGCTGCTTGTGGACAGTGCAGGGTTTGCATTGAAAAATGCACTTTTTTATGAGTGGCTTGAGCCGAGGGATATAAAACTCCTGTCTGATCGCCTGCTGCATAAGCCGGGTTTCGGCGTGCAAGAGCAGCTCATGCAGGAAGCGTAAAAAGAGTGCAGCATATCGGGATTTCTCGGGAATAATGATGGGGTGGCGTTCATTGTAGCTTAGCGTTGAGTGCGCCAGTCGACCGTTCACACGTAGAAGTCCATCTTTGTCCAGAAATGGGTTTAAGGTGAGAAGCGGGCTCCGTTTATCGATCGGCTTCGAAGCCAACAAATTCCTCTTTTCATTGGAGAAATATCGCGATTGAGTTAAGGCGATGAGCTGGACTTTAGTGTTTCGGAAGTCATCGTGCGCCAGAGGTAAAGGGTGAACTATTATGTGGCTTGTTCGGGTTTTCAGAGTCCGTATGAATCGAAAAACGTGAGTTAAAACCCGGAGTGCGCGTGGGAAGGAGGAGAAACGATCCAGAATGTCGGGTTCTTCTTCGGTGGTGTGTAACGCTTCAATTCGGCGTACTTCGGGTGGATTGTTGATTGTGCGTCGTGAAGCTTTCGGCCAAGATTCCGCGGGGCTGGTGAGCCATTCCGGACCCTTCCACCACAGTGAGGAGGCTGCCAAGTCGAGAGGTTTACATCCTCTTGTACCCATGTCGGCGGGATTATCGTGAGTTCGTACATGCCGCCAGGTGGCATTTCCGACCAGATCGATTATTTCCAACCATGAGAGCACAATTTCGGAGTCAGACCACAAAATCAAAGCTTGCGGGTGGAGATTGAGCTGAGATTGGACGACCGACACTAGTTTGGCTAGAAGAAGGGCTCCACATAGTTCGAGACGTGGTAAGCTGGTGGCTTTTAGGGGCGCCACTTTGCCTTTAGAGACTAGGAGGTGACACGTTATGTTTTCTTCTCGTATCGCTCTGACGTAAATATTGGCGCAATATGCCTTCTCAGACGCGTCGCAAAAACCATGCAGCTCAACAGGTTGGCCTGGAGAATAGTTCACCCAACGAGGAATTTGGATTGCTGTTATGGCTTTTAAGTTGTTCGCGAACTGCGTCCACTTGACGAGACGGATGGGTTTTACCTGTTCATCCCAGTCGGTTCCATCAAGCCATAGCTCCTGCAAGAGAATTTTGGCTTGAATCATTATCGGCGCTAGCCATCCTGCGGGGTCGAAAAGTTTGGCGACAGAGGAGAGGATTTGTCGCTTCGTGCTCGCTGTGGTTACTGGGATGGACTCAACGGTATATGAGAATGCATCTTTTATGGCATTCCATTGAATCCCGAGCGTTTTCGTCGTACTTGCCTTTTCGAATTCGAGAAACTGTGAATCGAGCACGTCGGCGGTGGGAACGGTTTTGAGGATATCAGGATGGTTGGCCGTAATTTTCTTGAGGGGGAAGCCTGCCGACAGAAGAGCTTGTCTGACTTGAGAAAGGGATTCAGAGGCTGAGAGGATAGAGTGCCCACCCGAAAGTATGTCGTCTACATATGTTTCGCTCATTAGTATTGGGGACGCCATCGGGAGTGTGTCTTTTATATCTTTAGAGAGTTCGTGATGGGTGCGTATTGCGAGATAAGGGGCGCAGTTGAGACCAAACGTGACGGTTTTTAGTTTGAAATCTTGAATTGGACCTTTTGGGGAGGAGCGAAATATGATTCTCTGGTAATCTTGGTCCTCATCGTGTAATAGTATTTGGCGGTACATTTTTTCTACATCGCCATTAAAGACAAATTGGTACGTGCGCCATTTGAGGATTAATAGCATCAAATCGGGTTGGAGGGTTGGCCCGGTGTAGAGGACATCGTTTAACGAGTTACCGGAAGTTGATTTTTTCGATGCATTAAAGACAACACGCACCTTTGTCGTTCTTTTTTCAGGTTTTACAACCGCGTGGTGGGGTAAATAAAATGACGAGTATTTGTTTCCTGAGGATTTCTCATAGGAAGTTGTTTCTTCCATATGACCTAGTGTTATATATTCCTCGAGGACTTGGTCGTACTGGGATTTTAGCTCGCCTTTTTTGAGAAGATTTTTCTCCATACTGAGGAATTGCTGGAGAGCTGGGGCACGGGATCGACCTAAGGTGAGTTGGTCTGGGAAACTGTGCTTAAATGGGAGTCGCACTTCGTAACGATCATCAGATGTGCGTGATGTGGTGGATATATAAAAGTCTTCACACACTCGGTCCTCAGAGTTGAGAGATTTGGGAGTGGGGATTTCTTCCAGTTCCCAAAATTTTCGAAGTTGGGAATCGAGATTCTCATTTGAGACTTCGTCTACTTGGGTCGAAAACGAGCTTATTTGATTGGGGACTTGACCACTAAGGATCCACCCAAATATGGTGTTTTGTGCTAATAAGTTTTTGGAGAGTTTTTCAACCCCTTCTAGCACAATTTGTGGGATCAGGTCGCTGCCAATGACTAAGTCTATTTGGGATGGGGAGTGGCAATTGGCGTCTGCTAAGGTGAGATGAGACCATTTTTCCCGTTGTTCTTGAGTGGGTTGGAACTTGGGTAGCAATTTGGTTAGCTGTGGGAGGACGATTGCTTGTGCTTTAATCCGTGTGGATAAATCGTTTGAGACAAGAACCAGAGAGCATAATTTTTTCGAGGTTTGGACTACCCTTCCACCCATTCCTGAGATTTCGAAATTGGAGGTTCGACATGGTAGTCTCAATTTGAGTTGCGCTTTGGAGGAGATGAAGCTCCGTTCTGAGCCCTGATCAATGAGGGCTCTTAGTTTGAAGAGTTCCCCTCTGTGTTCAACGGAGACGATTGCCGTCGGGAGTAGTACTTTACTTTCATTTTCGGAGTAGAAGGATTGTACCTGGGACTTATTTGAACACGAGGGTTGCTCGTCTTGTTCTTCCAGAGACTGGGGAGTTTGGAGACTGGCACTGGTGGAGGTGGTAGTTGCCACTTGAGATGAGGCCTTATGCACTCGGGGAGTTGATGAATTTTTTGAGAGTGCGCCATCATGGAGTGATGAGTTGTGCCGTTCTTGGCAATGAGCGCAATTGTGAGGGCTTCTGCAATCTTTAATTAAATGCGATTGGGATAAGCAGTTTAAGCACATGTGATTATCTCTCACAAATTTTTTCCGATCCTGAATTGACAGTTTTTTAAAGCGAGAGCAGCTGTAAATGGGATGCTGAGAGGTTTTGCATAATGCACATTTATACATTGTGCGCTGCTCTGTCATATGAGATTGGATCTTTGAATGGGATTTATTGTGAGTGTCATGTGAATTATTGCTTTTAAATGCGTATGGGTTTTGTTTGGGGTAGCTTGTATGCGGGGGGATCGATTTAACCTTGGCTG